TTTTCACAACCTTAAAATAGAGCAGTCTTGCTAGCGAGACACACTGGACAAATTTAAACCAACTTTCTGTTTTATGTAGAGTAGATGTGCCAACTCTTGAAATGTTAACCGAACTCCTGAAATGCGTTTTCGTTTTGAAAGGAGTACTTAAGTAGGGTTGTAAAAGTAATTACTTGCGGCATACTTATATAATAATTCAGTTACCTCTGGGTGTCGACATTCCTGAGAACGTCTTTCTGGCTGCATGCAAAACCACACTCTGTAAAAAATGACTACTCAAGTTGCATATATTTTTCCATTGATTTTCGATGCCCCTAAAAGTTCAACTGCATTCTATGAAAAGCATTTAACAAGATATTCATTCTTTCAATCATTTTATTAAAACGTAGTCTTCCGCCAATTTTATACTCGAAGAAAAATGTATAATTTGGTTTTAAAAAGTTTCTTATTATGAGAATGTTGATAACGTGGAATGCCCGTTCATAATACATCGTGTCTTTGCATTTGCTAGTGTGGCTTGTAAAGTTTACACTATGGCTCAAATCTACTGCTAAATTTTATGATCCTCATCCAATCTCCTCTTTATAATATAAAGAAATATATGACCTTCCGAACACGAAAAATATGCAGCTTTTAGTTCGGAAACCCTTAATGCAATTGTAACGACAGGTCGGGTTCAAAATTACTCGAGAATCGGAAAAGTTTTTGAGAATCGGACTATACTCTTTCCTTCGAGTATAAATTTGGAAAAAAGGGTAATTGCCCACCAAATGATTGTAAGAATGAATAATTTTATAAGTGTTTTTCCGTGAAATATAATTGATCAGAAGACGAGGTCACACCCTTCCGCTCTCACCCTACCCCTGACACTGACTTCTATTACCCCACCCCCCCTACATTTCCACACCCGGCCTGTGTTTGAAGTGGACCTTTTATCGAGTTTTCATATCGCTGGCATGTTTTTCTTCTATCCCGCTCCCATATAACTGTGCTTGCCCTACGAGAATTTATCGGAAGCTACGTATGCTCGCCACCTCGTCTTCTGATTACTGCTATGGGAATTTTCGAAAATATAATTGAATCTTTAAGGGCATCGAAAATCAATGAGAAACATATATGCTACTTGAGTAGTCATTTTTTACAGAGTGTAGTTTTGTGTGCAGTCGGAAAGAAGTTCGTTCAAAAGCTAACATCTCGAGGTAATTGAGTTTTCATAGAACTAAGCTGCAAGTAATTACATTTACAACCCTAATTAAGTAATCCTTTCAAACGAAGACGCATTTCAGAAGCTCGGTTAGCACTGCATGAGTTATCACACACCTGTTCAAAAACACAAAACAAATTTTCCGATGAGGATGGAGGATGTCAGAGCAAGTCAGTTCCTTTTGCAAGAACATAAAAACATCGAAATGTTGTCGGACATCAAAATGCAAGTTCTCAGCACTCACGCGGATTTCTTCGTCCATCTGCCGTATGGCAGGAGTATGTCGTTCCATAAAAACAGAACTACTAGTGTTTTTGTTTCCGCAATGATCTCAGAGAGCATCCAGTCACCCCTTTGTTTCACTGGGGAAAGTTTTGTCGGTATAGGTTCACATCCGTTCAAAGCCGGTTCCTGATTATGCACAAGCCTTGTTCCATTTCTACGATCCAGCACAATTTGGGGGCACTCATGTGTGAATATTTAATGCATCCGCATGTGTAATTGTGCGCGTTCAGCAGTGACTGTACTTCGGGGGAACAGGAACGGGTGTTCAAAGTTCAGCCTCTCCATTCGTGCCTTTTGATGTCTCAGAAATTTCCACAATCGCGCGTGCCTTTCGCCCACCTACTTCACTGGGTTGTCGGCTGTTTTTGTTCGTTTTTCGCCAAGTCCACTGGGACTCTGGGAGTCATAGTTCCTGTAGTTCAGTCTGTGTTTGCAAATGCAGACGAAATTTGTAGACTCCATTCTCAGTCTGGGTTTATTTCCCAAAATAACACTCACATTGGCCTAAAAAGATTAAGGTCCGATGCGATTTGCAGTGGCGTTCAAAGTGTACTTTTAACGAGGAAAATTATGCGCTTTTAATCGCATGGGCGGCAGCAATGATCGCTACAGCAATCGTCGTATTCCTCCCAGAATTCGGACAGAGGCCGAGTGTTCAGACCATTCATAGCGATTATCTTTTCTATCACCGTTCAGACATTCGTTTCAAGCACCTAGGAGTATTAGGGAGATTTTAAGAAAATACGCATCCTATGTAGAGTTCAAATCCACATCCTGAAAGACATTTAACGTACTATAAGTACATGGCAACCTGGAAAGTCAGCTTGGCATTCAGGTATTTTCGCTCACTCATCCCGAGACCAATGCAGTTGCACAGAAGTTGAAAATATGAGTTCACAGAGTTTATAAGTGACGCAGGAGCTATAAGTCTTGATCGTTTCCACGTCACAGGCACGACAATGACAGCGTGTTATGATCATTGACCAGTGGAGGGGGGGTGACATAGGCTGTAAGTGACGTTTTTAAGTTGGGCATGTGGAGCACACATCACTGTCATCAGGGGATTGGAGCAGCTTCTAATGACCATCTGTGGTCGGCGTTGGCCACGGAAGACAGAGCGTTTGTATCAACGTCTACCGACAACATCTCTGTCGAATCGTTAGCCGTATGAACACTGCCACGGCTGTGGCTAGCAACCAATGGCCTAGACCTCTGGTGAAACTTGTTATTGCCTAGCAAACGGCCCGAAATGTTTTTGGTATCGACTCGGTAATTTGTACTGAGAAGATGGACGAGAATACAACTCAAAATGGATCTGTTTTCTCCTCATATTCAGCCAGACCGTTATAACATGATGTCGAAGCAAGAACTTAATTTGTCTGGCAATTCAGATTATCCACTCTAGCTATCATCAGAGTCAGTATTAGCTACGAGACTCAGATCTAATGCTACTAAGTTTTTTTAAGACTATGAGCGGAATATGTGATTGTTCAGAGTCGGACGTCTCAAAGTTTCGAGGTTGAAACAGACAAATTGATTGGCCGATTCGGACCAGAATGGAATACCCATTTTTCACCAGGCACCAGATTATTTGTGGAATATGTGCGCAACAATTCATGAAAGAGACAGTGCAGTTAACTTATTAGTGACCTTATGCGGACTGATAGGGAGTCCGAGTCTATTATCGAATCTGGTGAGGTCACGGACAAAGCAAGTACGTCGAAGTAGTCAAAACACTGCTCCGAACACGACTGGCTTAACACGTAGCAGTCGTGGGGAGAAATAAAGCCAGCATCCAAGTTTCGGCTTATTCAACGAGATCCAACCACATTCAAATTCGACGGGGTCAAAGTTCTCTCTAGAGACGCAGTGGCGTGATTCACAAACTGCATGAGTCGGGCTTCAATGGTTCCCTGTGTATTAACTGGTACATTGATCTCTCGTTCTATATTTGACGCTGAGACAGCCTAGACGGACTAAGTGGCTATGTGGGGAGCGCACAGGCGGACACAATCCCCAACGCCAGGGTCGGTATGCCAGAAGGTTGAGCAATCATCACGCCAACATCCGACAGTGGTGATGAGATTGCAGCGATTAACAACGCGAAGGTTGGTCATCGAACAATCATCACATCAAGTGCAACAAGCCCCGAAGGGGGAGGGGGAGACCGTGACTTTTCGTACGTATGCGGTAGCGTGGCGACTGTATCCTATAAATACTACAGTCTCTTTTCCACAAAGTATCCATTCTTTATATTGCCACTGATGGTGTGTTCGAGCAGGAATCCGAAACGTGCGGTGACTGAAGGTCTGGTTACTACCATCGTGTCGTTCCACGACTTCTATTTATTAGCAGCGTCATTCTGCTTTAAATACTCCTCTTGCACTTTGGGACAAAGCTTGGTCACTCATAATCGGGATTTTCAACTGAGCATTTTGAGCCGGCTTCAAAGTAATTCTGGATTTCAGATTAGTTTTGGAATGCTGAAGGAAGCCGACAGGCGAGTTTCCGGTAGCAGTTCAGAAGACGAAGATGCGGTCACTGGAACAAGAAATTTATTGGCCTGACGCTTCGCATTCTCACTCGAATCCATCATCAGAGACATTCGCAGATAGAGGTGGTTGTGGCACCAGGAGTGCAGCATTTATAGCACGTGGCTTCCGTGGGACCATATGTGCGCTGTAATAAACAGCTTTCGCATCACCGCTGGGGTCGTAATTGACGCGGTAGTGACTTGTCAGTCTGAGTCCGAGTCGTTAATGGCCGTGATTTCGTCATCCGTGCTGGATGCTTGTGTGACGATTGTTCGGCAAACTGGCTCACTATCACTGGGATAATTGCACTCCCGCGCCCTCCCCACGTGACTAATTTCCCTGCCCAGGGAAAATCCCAGCAGGGAATATGGTACCGGGAGGTCATTGTGCTTGTTGATGGATTGCGGGCCTGAGAACCATGACTCGAGCAGCTCGCGGCTCACGCGGTTTTCCCCACTTGCGAGGTTTTCGGCCTCTTAAAATTTGAAACTATGGTCAGGTCCTGTCGAGTGTGCCGCCACGTGAGAGTTAGCGTCTCCCCGCCTCACTGCTGCTGCGTGCTGGGCAATTCGCGTACGGAGTAATCTCCCAGTTTCTCCGACACAGTTGCTTTGTCCGCAACTAGACCAGATCCGGTAAACAACTCCAGACGTATCCTGCCGTGGCAGCGGGTCTTTTTGGCCTCATGACTAGGCGCCTAATGTTTGCTTCCGGCCTGTGTGCAACCCCAACTTCAAGTGGAGTGAGAAGACGACCTACGGCTTCCGAGACGTTCTTCACGTACGGAAGAGCCCGCCAAAATTTGGGGCCGGTTGGATTTGGTCTCTGATGTCGTCTTTGTATGCACTGGTTGACAGAGTTCGGCGGGTAACCATTGACTCTCATTACCCGTCGAAGATATTATCTTCCATTTCACAGCAGTGCGTCTGAACGCGCCATTATAGCGCCCTTACGCAACTGCGTTTGTGACTGATCGGTTAATTGCTATTGAATTGCAGTATTTGCGTCGTATTTGTCGCTTTCCTGAACACTTTGGTTTTTAGGCCACCACAATCTTTGCGGCAGACGAGGACATCCAGGAAGGCCAACTGTTTGTTCTCCTCCTCCTCCATCGTAAATTGAATGTCCGGGAAGACGGCGTTGAGACGTTTTTTGAACGTCAGCACCTGATCCCGTTCGATGACGACGAAGGTGTCATTCACATACCGAGGCCAGAATTTCGGTCTGTGTCGTCGGCGACTCCAGTCGTTGCAGAACCGCCTCGGCTATGAGTCCCCAATTCGGCGAGCCATTGTCGTTCTCTTCACCTGCTCTTAGATTGTTCCGTCGAACGTATAGTACGTTTTGAGGCAGAACTTCAGGAGCTGAATGATTTAGGCGTGTCCGAGGCGATTCTCCGATTTGTCGTATTTCTCTCGTAGGAGTAGCTCGATGGTCTCGACTACCAGGTCCTGTAGGATAGAAGTAAAAAGGGACGTGACATCAAAGGAAACCATGACATCGCTTGGCAGGGGACTTACTCCTTTAAGTTACTCCAAGAATTGCGCTGACGAGCTGACTGTGGTGTTCGAATCGGAGGTCAGAAACTTGAGACTTCGGAAGCGCCACTTTGCCAGTCCGTAGGTTGGAGTGCCCTTTAGTGATAAGCTAGGCCGGAGAGGAGCGTCCTCTTTGTGTACTTTAGGGAGACCGTAGAATCGGGCTAGGGCCGTTTCTTGTGCTATCGCCATGCGTCGGCTGATTGGCGATATTGCACCTGAGTTCTCCATTGCCAAAGGGGGTCGCGTTAATCTCGAGTGCCAGCATTTTTATGGGGTTGGATTCGCATGAGACATAGGGCTGGCGATCCTCCAACAAGCTTTTGGCTTTCTGATTATAGTCTGTTCTGTCCAACACAACCTTTGAACACCCTTAGTTTTGGAAAACTTCATTCTGGAAAAACGTACCCATATATATATGTACTGCTGAATGCCGTTTGACAAAATGTGGATACTGATGGGCCCAGAGTCAAATATCGATGTCAGTCTAAAGGCCAAAAAGCGGGGTGTTTGTCAAACGATTGCACTGCGTTATCGCCCTCAGTTCTGAGAAAATGCAGTGTTTATTAAGAGCAGTAATATTCTATAATCGATTTTACCATAATTCCCCACCTGATATTAAGATGTACTATGGAAACTACTGTCTGCAATAGCTTGTGGAACAGACTGCCAAAAAACCCCACTTCAGTGGTCCAACTTTCTGCAAATTTTGCTGCCTGTCATTAAAAGCGGAAGCATATGACAAAGAGCAGGTGGGGAACTCAGGTGAACCTACTGATGAGGGTTGCTAGGCTTCGTCCAAATAGCGCGAGAGATATGGCAAGATTGGATGATGCCTTGTACACCAACGTGTGTTATTGATATGTGTCGCCTTGGGCGGGCTTTTGAATTTGAGCCGCCATTTTTGTAGCTCTCCATTCATGTGTGGATTTTTACTAATTGTACATTATTGTGCCTTTTCTCTTCGATATATTGAACTGTTTTGCATCCTTTGCTTGTCTGAGCTCAGATTATGAGGTCGTCTCTACAGTACGCTACCACCCTTTTGAACGGAATTAAATTGGCAATTTCACTTACGAACGACCATGATGCAAACTGTTGAACTTTACGACCAATATGTCGTATTTGTGATCGTTCTGTGTTGAATCTATCAAATATTCGTCAACAACGGCTTATGCATCGGAGAAAACACCGTTGTGGCTGGCAATTCGCATTCAAACGTCAGCCGAATCACAAATTGTCAATTTCTGCCTTCTTGTCGACAAACTGTCGTTCTATTTTCAACAAAACCCATGATTTGGAGCTACTTTTGTCGAAAAAAGAACACAGCAAAACTGAAGTTGTTTGCCTTCAAGAGACGTGGCTTAATAGTGACATTGATTCGCAACTTATTACTCCCCCATCCTTCTACTGCTTTCGAACAGATAGAAAATCTTTATCTTGTGGCAGAGTTGGAGGGGTTGCAATTTTCGTTAATCAAAATTGGTGTAGAGACTGTAAGTCCCTTTTTTCTTACTCTGATGATTTACTAGATGCAATCGCTGTTTTATGTAAGCCCCGTTTGTTAAGTAATTTTAAAGGCATCATATTTGTCAGTATTTACATTCCCCCCTCTTCCTGTGAAGGCGCAATAACCCGTTTTTTCGACTTTCTATCACAAAAACTTGCTATATTATCCTGTGATTATCTTACTCTCTTATGCGGTAATTTTAATCGCGTGAATTTACGTCCCCTTACACTTTTAGGCTTTGATGATCTTGTCTCCTTTAATACTCGCGCAGATGCCCCTCTTGATCATATTCTGACTAACCACAGCAAGCTTTTTTTGCGTAAAAAACAGGGCTCCATTGTTAGGTTCTGACCATCCCACTTTATTGTGCCTTCCAAAAATCTATTCCACTTCAAAACGTGCACTGCTAGCCAAGCCTGAGAGAAAGGTTAAGGTTCGCAACACGTCCGCCCAAAACATTCTCATGCATCAGACTTGCATTTCTCTTACTATCACCACTTTCCTTGAACATTCTAATGTTGAATCCTGTTCTGCCAACCTGACAGCGTTTTTAAATGAAATTTTCGATATTTGCTGCCCTTTTGATACTGTTATGGTACGACCGGATAGAATTTCTTCCCCCTGTCTGAAATCGTTAGGACGTAAAAAAGAACTCCTTTACAAGCTAGGCTTACGTGATAACCTTAAGGACGTTACCGTCTTAATAAAAACAGAGATTGACAGGCTAAATAGCCTGTTTGTCAGCCAACGTTTTTCCTCTTCTTACTCCCCCCCTTTCCCCCTTCCTCAGCTGAGATTTGGAAAAATCTTAAGCGTCTCACTGGCCATCGCAACACGTTGGTGCATGTGGATGCAGATTTAGACTCCCTAAATAAACATTTTATATTTAGTCACAATGCCTCCCATCTTCCCTTAGAAGACATTCCCCTATCACCGAGTACATTCCAACCCGTGTCTTTGGCAACAGTAGAGAAACACCTTAAAAAGGTCCGTGGATCAACAGCTGTCTCACATTTTCGTCTTAAATCTTGCAGTTCTCAGATAGCCCCTATTTTAACGCACCTAATCAATATGTCTTTCATGGCGTCTAAGATTCCCGACGCCTGGCATACAGTGAGAATCACTCCCATCCCTAAAAAGCCTGCTAACTTTGGTCCTAAATCTTTTCGCCCAATTGCCTGCTCCTCTGCGATACTAAAGCTTGCTGAAAGAGTTGCCCTAGATATCATAAAGCCTTTTTCTCCCAGTTTTTCCGACCCCTTACAATTTGCTTTGGCGTTACGTTGTCCTCAAATCTTTCATTTTCCCTCCATATTGAGTCCTATTTATTAAAGTTCGTAAACTTCTTTACTACATACGTCGTTTACGTTCCTACCACACACCTCAACCCTTAGTCTGGCGATTCATTGATGCCTGCATTCTTCCTCTTATCCTATACTGCTCCCCTGTCATTTTTCCTGCTTTGTTAAAAAAGGATCTTTTAATTTTGAAACGAATCCTCCGCATGCTCTCATCTGCTGCTGGCGTTTCTTATATTTTTTTAGTTGACACAATCTTACAACGACACTTCAATGCGGTCAAGCAATTTGCTGGTCGAATTCTAGATGACGTTGCCCATCCCCTACATTCCGATCTTATGTCTGCCAAGTCTTCCCGCCCGATGCGCTGCAACTTCCGTCTAATATGCTGTCGCACATCGGCTTATCGAGCTTCTGTATTGCCATTCCTAGCGCGCTATCTTACGTGCGAAGAGACAGAAATACAGAAGCTAAGACTTGAACTATCCCCATAACAATCGTTTATTTGTGTTAAACTTTGACTCTTGAATAATCTATTAACTTATTTACTGCCCATAGTGAATGGAGCCAACGTTTTGCTGAAAATTGTGAACATATGATTTAAAAATAAAGCGCATTCCTCTCTCTCTGATACTGGGATCCCTTGTGACATAAGCGCATACGAAACTCTGTTGGCAGGATTTTTCGGTCCGCGAATTTATGGCTTATCGGTCGCTGTCAGTTGGCAAACAGAGGGCGTTATACAGATAGCTTTTCATCTGCCCTCTACCTAGTGAAGAACTTTCGTGTCATCGTTTTACTCTTAGCAGTCAGATTTTGTTCTTCCCCTTAACAACCGTACTTGACGTATTTCTCTCCTTAAACAGGCATTTTACAGACACTAGGATTTCGTTATTTTTACTTTTGACTAACTCGACTGATCGCTTTGGTCGACAGTTATCGCTTGGCAAACAAGCAAGAAAGCGTTCCACAAACACTTTCTACTTATCCTCTCATGGCTCTCCTACAGTATTCTCTGTTGTCTGGCAGTTTTGTTCACTCTTATGTCCTTTGGAATCAGCGCCTTATTCTGTCAAATTTAATGGCATCTTAGTCTATTAAAATTAAATCCCCCTGATCGGAGACTTGTATGTGCTTTTGACTTCCAGGGAAGGACGATGAGTTCTGCGACATTGGAAACCACTTTTCGCTGATGTTGACTTAGTATATGGAGGGAGGGGAGACGAAAGTGGAGGACAGGATGATGGGAAGGGGAAGAGGAGAAGGAGAATGAGGAGGAGGAGGGGGAGGAGGAGGAGGAGGAGGAGGAGGAGGACATAGGAGGCAAGAGTGGAAGTGAAAGAAGGAGAACGAGGGACAGAACGAGGAGAAAGTGAGCAGTGTTTCGCCTCGGCATCGTTCAACGCACTAACGAACATACTGCGCCCCTTGTGCATGAACTGCCCGTATCTGCTATTGTCTCTGAAGACTGGTTCGAGGAGGAATCCCAAATCTTGGGGGAATAAAGTTCTTTTTTCATCGATTGTATCTCCGCCTTCGTGACTGATTCCAGGAACACGCTTCTGCTGGCATTTTCTTTCGTTTTATTTTTAAAAAATTTTTCAACTCTTGTCAGTGAATATCCTGTCATATGGCCGTTTTGACCCTTGTTTCCTGACCGGCGACACGAACCGGGAACCTCAACCGTTGCAGGACAACCTCTGCTATGCGTCTCGATATGCTAGCCCACCAAGGCGTTCATTTCTTTTCTGGTTGGTTATGGCGTCGATGTTGAACAATTTCGTTTAAGGACTAACGACGCAGCAAACTGAACACTCCTACTGATATAGTCATCCTTCTTCACAATTCTACTTGACCTCCTTCCCCCAATAAACATATATCAACAGATATTAAGCTCTACCAATCATGATTTGTTTCTCTAATTTTGGCTAACTTAGTTTACGCGCCTCCTCTCAAACTCGACTGCTTGCTTTGACGGGCAGCTATCCCTTGGCTTACTAGTGGGACAGCTTACTCACTACTATTTCCCACTTATCCTTTCAAACTTTTCGTACACTTCTCATTGTTGGGTTCCACTCTTGTGTAATTAATATGCTCTTTGGAATTGGAGCTTCGTTCAGTCAAATCTGCTGGCAACTCAGGTTACTAAAATTAACTTTCCCTGGTTGAAGTCTTGTATAAGCACAAGGCTGGTAGGGCAGATTAATGAGTTAGGCGACATCAGAAGGCAAGTTCCGCTGATCCGACGCTAATATGCTGAAGAGGGGGTGGGAACAGGGAACGGTAAAAGGAGGGGAAGGGGGAGGGGCGCGAAGAAGGGTAAGGGAGGAGGGAGAAGGTTGGACGGGAGGGTGGTGGTGGTGGTGGTGATGGAGGAGGAGGAGGAGGAGGAGGAGGAGGAGGAGGAGGAGGAGAAGGAGGAGGAATAAAATATTGGAAAGGCGGACAAAGGAGGCGGGAGGGAAAAGAGGAGGAGAATGAGTAAGCAGATGGGAAAAAATTGAGGAGACGAAGAGAAGCGATTCGCCGGAAGAGGCACTCTATTGCAAGCCAAACTAGGGAGGGTGTGTCGGACTCCTAAGCTGATTGCTCCACTTAAAGCTGGCAAGACATATCGGCGTCCTCTTTTGCCACCGGGCAAAGCACGAAGGAATCCCTTTGATCTTGAAACCGCGGACCGAAATGTGAACAGACAAGTTTTGGCTGAAAACGGCCGTAGATTCTCTTTTCGCTAATCAAAGTGTCAGGAAACTGCACTGATGAGGTCTATGTTAGTGATGATTCTGGCGGTGACTGCGTCATTTTTCGTGGCTGGGTGTTTTTTATTTATAAGGCGTATGAAGTTATAATAAAAAAATTATAGCCGGAATGCACTTTGCAGTGATGACTGCTCGGGCGTGCTCAACCAAAAGTCAGCAGGCTTCGACGCATGAAATTTTTCGGGAACATGGTGCGCGCAATTTAACATTCTGACCTCACGAAGGCAATAACGTTCTTTTAATTTTTGGAGAAAAACTTGCAGTCTACGCTTGGTGGGTTTCAGAGCCCAGGCTTTGGAAGTTATGCATACAGCTGGTATTCCAAGCAGATTAGTTCTCCTCTAAACCCGCCTGGCCGGTATGGAGCGTGACATTTTCGTGTAGTCAGGCCTTAAGCTCCGTATCTAGGCATACATGACTTCTTTCGCAAACCGCCTTCTGTAAAGTCTGAGTTCTGCATTTCGTGTTCCGTGTCGATCACATTTCGGGCAATCGGCAAACACAATGTGCTGTGCGTGACCGGTCTGTTGAAATGTTGGCTGAAATTCTGAAATGCGTTTTCGGTTAGGATGGATTAATAATGTGGCTTTGTAATGCTTATAATCTAGTGGCATAATCTTATAATATTTCAGACTTGGCAATATGTTGGCCTTTGAGTGAACCTCTTTTCGGCCCCCTGCAGAAACGACGCTAGGTAGAAAAGGACTACTTAAATAGCATGGATTTTTCGCATTGATTGTCGATGATTATATAAATTGAAATATATCACATAGAAAACATGCATAAAATATGCTTTCCTCTACACTTTGGGTAGAAAATCACATTCTCTTCCCGTTTTATACTCTAAGGGACGTTATCTTTTGGTTTTAAATAAGTTTCTAATTATAAAATTTTTAAAACCGCGAGATGTCCATATATGCAGCATCGCACATGAGAGTTTACTAATGCTCCTTACGAAATGTACAGCATGGCCCGCATCCACTGCAAAATTTTATAAACTCCATATTGTAACTTCTTAAAGGCAGAGCAAGGTGTGATTCTCCTTACGCGACAAGCATGCAACTTGTAAACTAAAATCGCTAAATGCTAATGCAACGGCTGATCATGCTCAAAATTATTCGGGAATTGGGAAACCTTTTCAAAACTTGAATATGCGAGTTCTTCAGATATAAAATATGAACAAAATGTGATTTTCTGCCAAACGCGTATAAGAAAGCTTATTTTCGTGCATGTTTTTTATTAATATATTAAAATTTAATATGAACACCGATAATCAATGTGAAAAAATATATGTTACATAAGTAGTCATTTTCTACCGGGCGTCTTTCTGCAGGAGGGGGAAAAGAGGTGCATTAAAAAGCTGACCTCTTGGCGAGTCATAAATATTAAAAGATTATGTCACAAAATAATTAATATTACAACGCCATATTGGTAGTCCTTCCTAATCAAAAACGCTTTACAGAATTTCGGCCAACATTTCATCAGATCGGTCACTCAATGTACTTCGCGTGAAGAGAAAATATATTAATCCACCAAGGATGTCATTCCTGATCTTGTTGTCTATGGTGTCACCGTTGAATAATCTTGCTTAAGAACCAGCCACGCAGCGAACTGAACTCCTCCACCGGATTCATTTGGGATGAAAGTTTTATTTGTCCACTCAGCAGTCAACTGGATACGCTGGCATGTTTAAGGCCGCCACCTGGATATGCCGAGATAGCACCTCTCCAAATGTTCCCTGATACACATTTACTGTGACGATTGATTGAAGACATTCAGCACGGATACGAAAAGATGGAGATATATTGTGTGCTTTAGTAGCTGAGCCGCATCTATATTGCGTAGTACGGCGCTTTTTATTCATTTGGGTTTTTTCACGAGCGTCTCTGATCATCCAACCGATCTTGGCATCCATACAAAGAGAGAGAGAGGGTGATTGCATCTTCCGTAAGCTTTATCTCACAATCAACCATCCTTCAGCGCCAGGTGATGTCTCTGAATAAAAACAAATCTGGGTTAGCGCATCACTCTCGCTAGAAGATGCATGAATGCCATACAAATGATTTAAAGAAAAAAAAACAAAGACGCATACGTTTGGCTAGCACGCTGGACCTGGGACTTAAACTTAGGCGATTTTCGACCAATTGCGGTTTATCTCATATGAGGTCTCCATACTAGCACGAATATTGACCACACTATTATTTCAAATGCTAAGGTTCCCAGTCTTGTGGGTGACGAAACCATTTTTTCCAACTTATAAACTGCTTGGATTTTGATGCGGTTTATGCCGTGGGGACTTGAATCAGTGTCCACCTTCTAACCACAGAGTATCTGCAGATCGTGCAAATCCTTACCGTAGCTCACAGTGGTTGGGAATATGATTATGGAAACCTTTAAGCGGACGAAAACTGAGGGGCATACGATGCATCCCCGCATACTACTATATGAAGGGCGTAAGCATGGGGTAAATACCAACTCAATCAACTGTCTGAAGGCTTTTACGCTAGGTTTTTTCATCATCCACATTCGTAAAATCCCACGACAACAAAGTCCTGGTCTCATCTACTGCGCAGCTTGTAAAGTCTGAACTTTTCGCGGGCTATCCTCTCCCACTTCAACAGTTTGCCAATTTGCAATTACAAAAGCCTTTCTTTGGAGTCAATATTGTCGGCAGTGAGGTGCTGTTTGGGACGTTTAAAGAGTTTTGTCTCCAGCAAGAGTCTAAGACAGGCGCAAACAGTAGGATTCTCCGGTGGTAATAAATCACGCGACCACCCACCATTTGCTGCCTGTCAAAATGTACACGGACTACTCTGTGAAAAGAGAGAGCTAGCATGCAAATGGGACACGTTCACTGCCAAACGAACTTATGGTATTCTCTGATGGAACCTACACCTTTATTTCTGTCCTTCAAGAGCTGGGAGTCGAAACCACCAAATAATGCCTTCAAAGCAAATGTTATGGGATTGGAGAATTGCGTCGGACGTGCCCGAGGCCTTCAACATCTGAAGTTCTGTTCCAGGAAGCGCTTCACTTCGGACGGAACAATTTATAAGCGGGTGAAAGACCGATTAAGGGGTCCACTGTCTTCGAGACGCATAGCAGAGGCGGTCCTGTAACGGTGGAGGTCGTTGGTCTTCCGAAATTCTGGGTTCCATATGTGGCCGAAAGCAACCGGTCGTGCAGGATAGGAACAAGGAAAAAGCCCGGGGGATACTCAACTGGTTATGTCAGGCGTCTTGACTGTAATCAATCAGCTATAATCGGCCCCATTTTAGAGGGCGTGTGGTTTGGACCTAATTCTTTGGTCGTCTAGTGCCCTATCACTGTGTCATGGGTCAGCTGTACTGCCAGCTCTGATCGGAAATATGTATGAGACTCTGGTAGTCAGATAGCCTCAACAAACCTACTGCCTGGATATGTGAGAGGGATTTTTGAAGCGTGCATGGGAACCTGAGAGACCGTTAGGTCAACACCACCCAAACAGGCAAGTTTGCCGAGCCCTCTGGATGAGGTTTTACCTATATTTGGATGCGTATTGAACGATAGACGGGCGCTCACCGATCGTTTTTACGGAACTAACTCGTCTCAATCGCAACCAACAGGTCAACGAATTCGTGGCTCAGTGGTTAGAGGC